CATCATTAGTCTAGATTCCGTTTTCCCAGTTGACTCAAATGTCTTGCATTTAGTTGATACGCTGCGTAAATTTATTTTAATCTAATTTATAACAGCCTTCCTGTTTTTGTAAAAATGCCATTTACTGGGTCCTTTGTCCTATAGAATTTTCTGCGTTCTGGACTTGGTTGGTTGTACCCTCATAGTGTCATTTAACATCTTCCTCTATCCCCATGTTGCCTGCAGTTGGGATACTTCAGGGGTGGCTCTGAAGGAACAACTCCATTTTCTTTTTCTTTTTTTTCTTCTCGAGATGGAGTCTCATTCACTCTTTTGCTCAGGCTGGAATGCAGTGGTGTGACCTTGGCTCACTGCAACCTCCACCTTCTGGGTTCAAGCAATTCTTCTGCCTCAGCCTCCTGAGTAGCTGAGACTGCAGGTATTCACCACCACACCTGGCTAATTTTTGTATTAATATTTTTAGTAGATACAGGGTTTCACCATGTTGGCCAGGCTGGTCTTGAACTCCTGGCCTCAAGTGATCTGCCTGTCTTAGCCTGCCAAAGTGCTGGGATTACAGGCTTGAGCCACCATGCCCAGCCTTCATTTTCATTAAAAAAAAAAAAAAAAAAGGCCCCAGTGCGCTCCAGGCCTGGGTGACACAGCGCGAGACTCCATCTCGCGAGACTCAAAAAAAAAAAAAAAAGGCCCCAGCTCATTGTCCTTTTGGTAGCAATTTAGACAGATCATACTTTTTACTCAAATGCTTGATGCTTTTGTGTGCTTGTTTTCCTCCTATGAATGGATTCAGGCTCATTTAGCTCTCTTAAGAACTTTATTTTGCAAGCTGGTCTCACTAGCTCTACACCTGTCCTCCTTGCCAGTTCTCCATAGCTGATTTTCTCTTCCTAAAAAAAAAAGAGTTAGTTGGTTTTGAGTTCAAGTATTCTGGCCCCACTACTTAAGCTGTGTAATGTTGGACAAGTTAGTGAGTCTGAGTTTCTTCTCCTGGAAAACGGGGGTCTATCTCTTAAGATAAAGGAGATAGGAAATTCAATAGTGCATGAAAAAGGACTTAACACAATCAGATTCAATGCTTAAGACACATTAGGTTTTTTTCTCCTTCTGACTATATCATTCCAAGTTCAAAGATTTTGTTTTCTTCTGCCTGCTGAAGTTCAACCTCCTAAGTGGGTTTTTACCTTTGAGCATTTCACCATTTGTCATAGACACACCTTTCCAGCTTCTGTTCCCCTAAACTCTGGACACATTATCCTGGGAACACACTCTTTACTGTTGCCTTTGTCTACAGTTTCCCTCTTGGAATGTGGTTCCCTCTGGTCTCTGTCTGATGCTTCAAGGACCAGCTGAGATGCTACCCTTTCTCCCACATCCTCCCATCCCTCTTTCTCTCCCCAATCAGTAAGTAGCATTGCTCGGGTTCAGTCGTCCCACGGTGCTTTATATGTGCCACTGTCATTGCACACATCTCTCTCCAACTTGTATTATGAGTGTGGGTTAAGAGTATTTATCTCCCAGGCAGCTGGTGGTAAAAAGACAGAAAGCTTTCGTCTTCATCTTTGACTTTTGCAGAGCAAGTCCGCGCTCCTGCACATGGCGTGGTGCCAGATGAATATCTGTTGAGTTGTATTGATTCTGATCGCTCTCAGCTGTGTGGAGGCCACTGTGGCAACCCCTCCTTGTTCTGCTGGGATAAGGAAGGGCGTATCTGACTCTCTGTGCTCTTGGGCACCCCGTGTACCTCCAGGCCTAGCCAGGGGAAGTCTAAACCGAAGATGCCAGAAGTGCATTGTCTTTGACCACTAACTGTTGCAACAGAGTCAGCATCTAACATGTTGTTTCTTAGAGTCATTTGCAGTGACTTTGAGAACAAAAGCTCCCCTGGGAGGGTCAGCACACTTGGTTTGTGCACCAGGCAGGGCTCCTGGCAGGCCTGCCCAGCAGGTCCCCAAGCCTGGGCCTGAGCCCTGACAGCAGTTGCAGCCACAGGGCAGCTGCAGTTATCAAAACTCTCATCTATACATCACTTTCCAATCCGTATTCTGTTCTGCTGTTTAGGGGGCTGGAGAGCAGAAAACAGAAGGTGGAGAAGTGCTTCATTTGCGCAGTGGTTTTATGATTAAGAATAGAGTGTCTTTGATATTAAAGAAATATTAAATTATTAAATTAGTTAGAAGTTTCGGCATTGGAAAACTAGAGCCCAGTACCCTATTGTGTTACTTTCTAACTTTGTGGCCTTGGGCAAGTTATTGAAATTATCTGAACCTCAGGTGGTTCTTTGCTAAAGTAGACAGAAGATACTTTATAGGGCTGATGAGGAATGTAAGGAAACTCTATATGCACATAGCTTATAACGTTTACTAATAGGTACATTACATTATGCTTGTCAGATAGTCATGTGAGTTATACCCTCCCTTGCTGGTAACATGGCTGAGACCCAGAAATGTACCCAGCTGGTCAAGGTCACCTTCTAGTAGCGATTACACTGGGTTAGGTCAGTGTTGTTGACTTTCTGGTGTTCTTGGCATAAGGATATACTTCATACTTCATGTGGGCTAGTGTGAACCTTTCAATGTTTATACTTCATGAAACTCTTGTTTTTCTTAAAATTCTCCAGAATTTTGATTGATCATTTCTCCTGATCTTTGAGGAGTGAGGAAGAACTTCTCTGCTATAGAACTCGTTAATGTGCCCCACATTTTCAGCAAGTCCTCTCACCATGGAAAGTGGCAGAGGTGGAGAGAGTGGATGGGAACATGTGCTTCTGGGATGCTTTACATACCAGGGAATTGTTTCTTTGCTAATGATCCGTTTCATTATAATGAATACTGGATGAGCTAAGACGGTGAAACATTTAACTATAGGTTAGTAATTCATTTAGCAAAGATTCTAATCCTCAGGATTGTATCAGCAACTATCATCAGGAGCGCTGCAGGCCTGTCCTTCCTTTCTTTGGAGTTGAGGCTTGAGGAACTTACTCCTTCCACAGCTGCAGGTCAGTGACGATGATACACCTCATTCCCCTCGTGTGGGGTAGCAGTAAGAGGTTTCTAGAAGCATCCGTCTAGCAGGAGCTCTGGAATGTAAATAACCCAAGAAGTGGCTGTTCTGTGACTTTTTTGTGATGGGAGTCTATGATAGGAAGGAGGCCTTTTCCTGCAACCGGAATGTCTAGCTGCTTCCTGATGGGCATGGAGGGGATCAGTGAGTTAAAGTTTCCAACATCTGTTGAAGGGGATTTATGTCTAGTAGTTCTGTTGATTATAGGCATCTCCCAGCAGCCTCAAAGAAAGTCACACATGCTTGTGTATCCTAGGGGGGAAAGGGAGATATCTTTATGCAAAGTAAGTGTTATGAAGGCCTGTTTTATTTTTTTGGGTATGTGTGTGTGTGTGTTTGTTTTGTTTTGTTTTGTGTTTTTGAGATGGACTCTCGCTCTGTCACCCAGGCTGGAGCTCACTGGCGTGATCTCAGTTCACTGCAACCTCAGCCTTCCAGGTTCAAGTGATTCTCCTGCCTCAGCCTCCCGAGTAGCTGGGATTACAGACACATGCCACCACACCTGGCTAATTTTTGTATTTTTAGTAGAGATGGGGTTTCACCATGTTGGTCAGGCTGGTCTCGAACTCCTGGCCTCAGGTGATCCACCTGCCTTGGCCTCCTAAAGTGCTGGGATTACAGGTGTGAGCCACCATGCCTGGCTTGTTTTTTGTAAGTTAGCAAATATGATCCTTTCTCTGGTGATATGCCAACATAGTTGTAATGAATAAAATGTTACAGAAGACATAATATATGAAAAGTTATTAGCTATTTTATTTCAACATGATGGACTAAACCACACACTGCATTTAGGCATAACTTTGAGCTGATGACTTCCTGTACTGTCCCCAACCAATTGTCACCCCTCAGAGGGCTGCCGCGCTAGCCTCTTGTTGGCACAGGAATTGGTTGGTCTGGGCTTTTTAAATCAGATTCATCTTTCTGAATTCCTTCCTCAGTTTCTCTCCCATCTGCCTAGCTCCTGTGCCCTATCCGGGCATTCTAGGCCAGCCCCCGTGTGTCTGACCACAGAAGTGAATATGTTTGGGATTTAAATAATCAATTACCTTTGAAAGGCACCCTGCAATAGACAGATAACTTGGAATGCAGGTGAGGCAGAGAATTCACTGCCATCAAGTCGCAGTGTAAATAAGATCACAGAGGTGATGATAACCTATTGTGGGTTGACGATAGGTTAGTGAAAAAAGAGCTTCAGAGCACTTTAGGTGGATATTCGTTAAAGCAGACTCAGTGGGGTCACTCTTTAGAATTGCTCTCGATGGCTGTTCTTACAGGCTACTATGGGAATTGTACTTACAGGCTATTTTGTGAATTTTATACTTTACTGCTCTTTAAGTGGTGTGCTTTGGCGTGCCTGTGATTATCCTCCTTCTTTTCATTTTTTGGGATGCCATTCCTTTTATCTCAGCTAAGGATGGGAAAGGGAACATGAGACTGAATTGGTGAGACCGAATTTTCTAGATCTCAGAAATTTGGGACTTATTTGGAGGAAGTAGAGTTGTGCCATTTTCTGCAACAATCTTAATCTTAAATTAGGCGTTGACTTCACAGAGTGGTGACCAAATTGTGTGTGTGTTTGTGTGTGTGTGCATTTGTGTGTGTGTGTGTGTGTGCCTGCATGTGTGTGTGTGCGTGTGTGTATGTGTGTGTGTGAGGTATTTCATATCTAAAGAAACCCCTATTCGGCATCTAGACCTTCCTCTGCTACTGCTGATCTATGTGACTTCAGGTAATTTGCTTGTCTTCTGGGTCTCAGTCTTCTTGTCTGTTTTGTCTGAGAGTTACAGTCTCTTTAAGTCCTAAGGATCCCGGTCTACTGAGTTCACAGGCAAACCTGGGACTCCTGCATACATTCTGTTTCTGAACCACAGTAGCCTTTGCTAACTGACATACTAACGTGCTCTCTTCGTAGGCAGGAACTGTGTTTTTCTTGTTTGAAGGTGCCGTAGGAATTCCAGCAGACAGTGGATATAGAACTGCCTCGTCCCATCCTGTAGCCACTGGCTACCTATTGCTGTTGAGCACCTGAAATGTGACTGGTCCAAACCGAGATGTGTTTTCCAGTAGAAAAGACACACTAGATTTCAAAGACTTAGAATGAAGAAAAGATATTATGTTGTTAATAATTTTTGTGTTGGTTTCATATTGAAATGACAATACTATGCATATGTTGTTGGGTTAAATAAAATGGACTATTAAAACTATTTTCACCTGTTTCTTTTCTTTTCTTTTCTTTTTTTTTTTTGAGATGGAGTCTCACTCTGTCGCCCAGGCTGGGGTGCAATGCCGCAATCTCGGCTCACTGCAACCTCTGCTTCCCGGGTTCAAGTGATTCTCCTGCCTCAGCTTCCCAGGTAGCTGGGATTACAGGTGCCTGCCACCACGCCCAGCTAATTTTTGTGTTTTTAGTAGAGACAGGGTTTTACCAGGTTGGCCAGGCTTGTCTCCAACTCCTCACCTGTTTCTTTTTACGTGACTGTGACCTTTAGAAATTTTTAAATGACTCATGTGGCTTATACATTGTGGCTTGTTTTGTATTTCTGTTGGGTATTATTAATGTATAGAAGACATTCCTCAGCTGGGCGTGATGGCTTATTCCTGTAATCCTAGCACTTTGGGAGGCTGAGGCAGGTGGCTCACTTGAGGTCAGGAGTTTGAGAGCAGTCTGGCCAACATGGTGAAACCCTGTCTCTACTAAAAATACAAAAAAAAATTAGCCAGGCATGGTGGTGTGCACCTGTAGTCCCAGCTACTTAGGAGGTTGAGGCTGGAGAATCACTTGAACCTGGAAGGCGGAGGTTGCAGTGACCCAAGATTGTGCCATTGCACTCCAGCTTGGGCAACTGAGCGAGACTCCATCTCAAAATAAATAAAGAAGACATTTCTCTACTGGCTAAGAAGTTGGAATAAATGTTTACCGAGTCCCATCCAATTATTAAACAGTTTATGATTCTGAGTAAACAGGGAGGATTAGGAGAAGGGAAAACCCTGGGGTGGTTGAAATGGGTGAATCTAGCCAGGAGAAGGTTTCCAAGGGGAGAGTTGGCCTTGGAACTGAGTTTTGAAGTTGGAGAGTGAAAATCCTTTAGGGAGAAGAAAATGGACACAACTGGGCTCTCTGACAGACAAGGGCTGGCCCACCCCTGCCTCTAAGGAAGCCTGGGGTGTGGGAGAGGACCCAAAAGCCTTCTTCTAGGAGGGCACACCTGGCAACTATGAGATATGAAAGCGAGAACCCAGCAAAAACAGGATGTCACTGGGTCCTTGAGTCTGGGGATCAGGATAACCCAGACTCAGTGAATTTTCCTGTTTCTGAGCCGCTCAGATGAATTAGCAAGTTCTTCAGGGAGGGTCTTGTCTTTTTCTCCATGGCTGGTACTGTGTGACTGGGTGGAGACTTATGTCCCAGGAAAACCGAAATAACTGCTTTTCTTGCAAATGCTTTCACATAGCTCTTTATCTGGTCTGTGGTTTTGGGGAAGGGCCCTTCTGCAGTCGGGAATTGTCCCCAGCCTTTATTTAGAGGGCTAAACTAGGGAAATGGTTTTGAATGTAACATGTTTCTAACTGTAGTGATCTATGCCCATCCCCCACCACCAAAAAAAAAAAGGCCATGTGGACTGTATTTGGTAGCCATAGGTAGGTAGAGCAGTAAAATATAATTTATATGATTGTGCTATGTGTGCTGTGTATGTCAAAGCATGCTCTTCATGCGGGCATGTCACGCTCAGGTTCTTGTTTTGAACCGCCACATGTGACTGCCTGGTGCTATCAGCTTACTTTGTGGTATGTTATCAGCTGAAACCAGATGTCTTTTTGAAAAATGTCATTGTTGCATGGGGCTTTAATACTGAAATCTTAGGAGGTGGCCTTTCTTAGGTCATAATTTTTTAAATTGCTGTAATGCATGTTTAAAGAATGGCAGTGCACACGAGAAGACAAAAAGTGGCCCGAAGTCAGGTCGATTTGATTCAGCAAGTGATGGAAGTCAACATTTAATGAACACTTGCTTTGTGCCAAGCACACTGTTCTAAGCTCTTTAAATATATTAAGTTATTTAGGTCTCACAACTTTATGAGATAGTTTATTATTTCCATTTCACAGATCAGTGAGCTTGGGCACAGAGAGGTAAACTGAAGTCCTCAAGGTCAACAGCTACCAGGTGGAGGAGGTGAAATCTGAATCCGGGCCATACACCATTGTTAGTCGAGCATTTGTGTTCACTACCAAGTACTTACTGGGCCCTGAGGATGGCTCTGGAGCACTGGATAAGTCAGATGGCTCTGATCCTTGCTTGCCAAGCCATACCATCATTCTCAGCTTCAGTTTCCCCAACTGTAAAACCAGCACCCAAACCCTGCCCTGCACACCTGCAGAGATTTGTTTGTTAGGATCAGTTGCATTAATGCAGGAAAATGTGATGTTCATGCATGGGAGAAGGCTCGGTTGATCAAAGGCTATGCATGGCTTCTGTTTGCAAATATCAGGGAGGATGGGGTGAAAATGGGAGGACCGGAGAGAAGGGCAAGGAAACGCAGCTTCTCTGTCTTAGCACGTTCTCAGGATTTGGTTGTGTCAGGTCCCTGCCTTGCACCATATACTGATCATTGCATTCTTGTCCATGCTGTGTGTTCTGACTGGAGTCACACCTAGCATGTGTGGGTGTCAAGTCAGTTGAAGCAACAGAAGTATGGTTTCACAGCCCTTTAAAACATAAGCTCTTCAGCTGGGCGTGGTGACTCATGCCTGTAATCCCAGTGTTACGGGGGTCCTTGCTCCCAGAGCTCGCAAGATGGTGGCGGGCCACTTCCAAGATGGTGGCAAGCCTTGTGTTCTCTGACCTGGGGTTCTTGGCCTCATGGATTCCAAGGAATGGAATCTTGGGCCATGTGGTGAGTGTTATAGCTCTATTAGAAGCTGTGGGTCATGGAAGAGAACCATGGAACCCAGTGACTAGTGTTCAGCTCGATTAGGACGAACCCAGGCACTTAGCCATGCAGGAACAGTGACAAGCCTTTAGCCCGATCGGGCATGGCAGTGGGCGCCTCGCTGGATCAGGAGCACAGTGGACACCCTGCTGGATCCGGAGGGATGGAAGTCAGCGGCGGGTCTACGATGGCGGCAAACAGCAGCGGTGGACGCCAAGCCAAAGCTCAGCTACAGCTGTAACAAAACACGGACCAGAAGAGTGCAGTTGCAAGATTGAATAGAGATAGAGTGAAGACAGAGCTCCCACATAAGGGGAGGGGACCCAAAGGGGGTTGCCCTAGCCAACTCGAATGCCTGGGTTTATATCCTGAACCTTGTCCGCCCTGCTGTGCTCTCAGGCAATAGATGATTGGCTATTTCTTTACCTCCGGTTTTGCCTAATTAGCATTTTAGTGAGCTCTCTGATTGGTCAGGTGTGGGCTAAGTTGCAAGCCCGGTGTTTAAAGGGATGCAGTCACCTTCCCAGCTAGGCTTAGGGATTCTTAGCCTGGGAAATTCCAGCTAGTCCTGTCTCTCACCAGCACTTTGGGAGGCCAAGGTGAGTGGATCACGAGGTCAGGAATTCAAGACCAGTCTGGCCGACATGGTGAAACCCCATCTCTACTAAAAATACAAAAATTAGCTGGGCATGGTGGTGCATACTTATAATCCCAGGTACTTGGGAGGCTGAGGCAGGAGAATTGCTTGAATCTGGGAAGCAGAGGTTGCAGTGAGCTGAAATTGCGCCACTGCACTCCAGCCTGGGTGACAGAGCAAGACTCCATCTCGAGGAAAAAAAGAAAAAAGAGGCTCTTCAGTGCTTCTGCTGGCCTGTGTGTCGTTTGGCCACTGTCTGGGGATACCCTGTACCAATTGCTGTCTGTTAAAAGGATGAAAGACATAATGTTCGGAGACAGACCCTGGATGACAATGATCTGTCTTGGTCTCTTCCATATCTAGGAGGCTGCCGTCAGTTTGGTAATTGAAAGATTCCAACCTGAAACAGCTCGGTGTTTCTCCCCAAGCACAAGAACATTAAGTCCTGACCTTGTGCCTTTCTATGATTCAACACAGAGAGAGCCTTGTGTCCTTTGTTTTGGTTGTCGTGCTGAGCCTATGATCTTTTTGAGGTCACGGCAGTAGGAGCCTTAATGAGTGGAGATGAGTATTACAGGGATTCACATTAGTCCTGCTTTCTTGAGTAATAGTGGTCAGTAGGGTCATTACCATTAATGGAGCACCTTGAGGAGTAGTAATTTGCCTGTGCCGGGAGCTTTTTGTGTACTCTGTCTTGTCTGACCCTCAAGACAGCCTTGTGAAGTAGGTATTGATGCCTGAATTGTATAGCCAGAGGTGCCAAGGCTTGCCAGAGTCGTGCGATTGTCACGAAAGATGGTCAGGAAGCACAGCTCCCATCTCAGCGCCCCCAACTCCATCGCTGCTCCATGCTGGGGGTTTGTTCAGGGAAGGGCTGCTTCCTGCTGATAATGATGGACACCTCTCCTTAGAGGTTTCCATGCTTTGTACCATTTAGGGAAAACTTTTACTGTGAAAGGCCACACAGTAAATATTTTAGGCTTTGCAGACCACTGTGTCTCTCACAACTACTCAACACTCCCATTGTAGAGCAAAAGCAGCCCTAGATAATAGATAAACAGATGGTCCTGGCTGTGTTTCAATAAAACTTTACTTACAGAAACAGGCAGTGGGCCAGATTTAGCCTGCTGCCGTAGTTTGTCAGCTCCTGATTTAGGGTTTGGTCTAAATGGAAATGGTTATTATTAATACTATGATTTTGGGAAAGTTTATGAAGGATGGCAGGTTGCCTACAACAGAGAGAAAGGGAAACTCTGTTTTGGAGAAGATTAATCTGGATACATTCCTACTTGGAGGATGTCTCATAGAGGCTGGATGTGGTAGAAGCTCCTTGAGGGTAGCCCAGGGTGGACCCCATAGTATTTGATGAGTGCAGACATGGGCCCAAGGGCATTGGATAAAGATGGCGTTTTCATCATGGCGTGCTGATGGCCTTGTGGTGTCCATCTCACAGCAGTCCCCATGTCTTTGGATTCTCACATTTTCTCACCTACCTTTCCTTGGAACACCGCCGGGTCAGGATCTGGGGTTGGCTGCTATTTGGGATGAAGATGCTTCCTATAATCCTGAGCCTGAGATGAGAGAGTAGGGAAACTGCTGGACTTCCTTAGAGTCACTGTGCTTCCCACCAACTTTGGTG